GAACTATAGATCCTTCTTACACAATTGTGTAACAATAACTACTACTTTAAAACAGTACGGTTTAGGAGCTAAAAATACACACGTTATTTCGTAACTGCAAAACGTGTGTTGACCACATGCAGACAGAATACAAACGTAAAATTATCCAGTACTGAAAATAAATCTTCTGCCATTATCCGACACTATATGTACACCTGTCAGATGGCTCATGCGCAGTTAAAAGAAAGCATAACAAAGGGGCCGAGTTAGCCGAGGTTGCTGCGTAAAGATAAAAATATAAACGATGAAACTTTATATAGTTAGAGAACAGATAAGCAAAGAACTAAACAGGACAAGAAGTTCGAAGATATGGTTACTTTGATATTGAAACTTGAAAACTGTTTATGGAATAGCAACACTACCTACTGAACTGCTTGTTTCTTTGGCAAGCAGTTAGTATGAGTAATCATCACCCGCTGAGCACGTGATCGGAGTTTGCTTAACTTGAAATCAATGAGTTACAGGACAAGACATGTTTCGAACTCAAGTGAAATAATTTCATAAGTTTTTGTAGGAAAATAGAACACGACTACGAACATACGTAATGTTCATTAATCATGTAAAATAGAAGCAAAAACACATATCATACTGATTCAACAAGTACAGCAGGAATAAGAACACATTTCACACTAATTCATCATGTAAAACAGGAGTAAGAGCACATGTAAATCTGATTTATCGTGTAAAACAAAAGTAACAATACATTTCACACCAATTCATCATGTAAAACAGAAGTAAAAACATATACTGATTCATCATGTAAAACAGGAGTAATAATACATTTCACACCAATTCATCATATAAAACATAAATAATAACATATATCACACCGATTCATCACGTAAAACAGGGGTAAAAATACATTTCATACCGATTCATCATGTAAAACAGGAGTAAGAATACATTTCACACCAATGAATCACGTAAAACAGGAGTAAGAACACATTTCACACCAATTCGTCATGTAAAACAGGAGTAAGAACATGTGCAATTAAAAGGCAGTGCTATGCCATCTCAGACTGCTGAGTGTTCAATAATACGTTTGTTAGCGATATAGGAACTTGTATTTCAGGTTGACGTACAACTTCTGATGGCCATGTACGTATTTACTGTCCTAAGCTGCTACATCTATATTGAGGTAGACCTAAAGCCAGTGAACTAAACTGCTGAGTAATACTATGCTTTCATAACGTTTCTCAAACAGAACTAGTCTGTGAACTAATTTTTCTGATGGAAAAGATTAAGCAGTGGATAAAATACAACTTTATTTACATACTAAAATCTACTCTCTTCTGTACTTTTCTTATTAAAAATTACTAGTAACATACTTGAGTAAGGAAGTATGTTATGTTAGTATAATAATAGGTAGGCAAACAACGATTTATAAATATAAGGAAGAATATTATTGATGGTGGAACATGCTACACGTTCCGACAGACAAACCAATGTTCTATCGAAACATGTAGTACTATTATTAATGGTAACATATAATAAAAAGGTTGTTTGCGAAGACCTTACACATGACATTCGTTAATTTTCTGGCATTCTAACTCTACTGAAGTAGTTGAATAATATAAACCCACTTAAGAACGAAATGAGCCAATTATTGCAAGTAAGACTGGTGCAACAGAATGTTGACATCCAGAACGATATAACCAACATCCACAACTATGTAACAATAGCTGCTACTTTAAAACAGTACGGTTTAGGAGCTAAAAATACAAACACAATTTTCGTAAGTGCAAAGTGGCCCTTATTGCAACCGCTACCCATACTTAATTTCAAATAACTGCGCTTATTACAACCGTTATCCTAACTTAACTTTAGCATACTGTTCTTATTGCAACCTTTATACTCACTTAACTTCAACAAACTGCTTGTTACAGCCGTTATCTTTAATTAACCTTAGCAAAAATGTGCTTATTACAACAATTACTCATACACAAGTCCAACAAACTGTGCTCATTGCAAATGTTATATTATCACAGTGGCCATTTAATGAATCTTCCACTTGCTTGATCATGTTTATATGTCATTGCTTCTCTGGGGTGTTGGTCATACCGAAGTGAAGAGGTGGTACAGAGATTCGCTCAAATTAGTATGCGCTAGGAGTTAATCTCTCCTTGAACATGTAAAATAAGAATAACTACCAATGAAAGGAATCTAGGATTGTGTGATACCACACCAGAACTGTGGTCTGATTTATTAATGTGATACAAACACAATTCTCCAGTCTCTTGTATGATGATGATGATGGGTTATTCTTCCTGCTTCATCAGTCAGTTAATTCTTAACTGTATGAATGTTAAGGAACTTCCAGCACATTTTGTCTGTGTATAATAATAACCTTACATGTGTTTACCTGTTGGTTTCAGTTTTATCTGCAAATACCACACGCGCAACCTCGCGAGCCTTTCTTTTTTCCATACATGCAAACTGACTGTAATGCTAATATGAAAAAATAACGTTTTGAAATCTCTTTTTTGGCTTCCACTGAATAAAATATAAGTTTTAAAGAGCCCTCTTGCAATCAAGAAGTTATGCTACTATTATGCAGGAGTTCTTCTGTCAGAATTTGTTGAGATCCTAGTATTCAGATAGTGATGTAGATTTTTAGGTTTTAAGATATTGCTGTTAAGATTCTTCACCTGGCAACGTTAAATGGATGATGTAAATTTTATGAATATTACAGTATGTTATTTTAATTAAATTGATCACATATAGTAAATGTGCTCATGATTATTTTCCCATCGTAATATGTTATCTTGGCTTTTTTGTTTTGATTTTTAGCGTAAAGCTATACAATGAGCTATCTGCGTTCTGTCTACCGCGGAGAACCGACTCCGGATTTTAGCGTTTTAAGTCCAGAGACTTACTGCTGACCTACCGGTGTGGGGGGGGGGGGACATTGCTAAACATCACACGGACATGATTTCATTCCCGATCTTGACGTACAGTAGGGAAACCCTTGAATCTCGTGGTTGTTTGTATGTTTTTTGATAGGATTAATATTATTCGAAGTCGAGGTTCATTGCATTAAATAAAGAGCAAATTATAATAATGTCATAATTTATAACATTAATTTATAAATATCCTTAACGACAGTTGAAACTTCAAACTAAAATAACTTATCTTTAAAATGACTTTGTGTTCCCACAGATATCATAGCCGTATAGATGATGTTGAGGGTATAAAACTTATACCACCAAAGCGAATAAACTAAGAAAATTAAAATAAACGCACGTCAGCGCGTGTATCAATTAAAGCAGCTTACAGGGACTGGACAAAATTTCACATTACTAGAAAAATATTGAAATGTAATTTGTTGTTAAATTTAACCTGAAAAACACGAATCGTGAATATAAAAGAAATTGAAATATTTTAACCATCATATTATCTATCTTTTGATTGCGATAATATATTTATAACATATAAAGGATCGTTTGATGCCGAAATGAGCAAGAAAGGTGTCGCCATCTACTGAACAGAAATAGAAGTGTAAATAATCAATATTATTTTACTTATATCATTGTTTAAGTATTGCTTTTGAAACAAGATTATCAACTTTTAAAAACTGAAAATGAAGTTACAGCACACGTATAAAATTGATCACCCCTCAGTACGTTCGAACTTTGAAAGGTGATGTGAAATGCAATCTTTACCTCGGGTATTAAAATTATCACTCAGACCATTAACTCCAGAGTGCAGTGTCAATCAATACATCCACTGTACACTGGATGCTCGATACTGTCGGATTTTACGCTTTCGTTAAGCCACTCATTAGGATTGTTAATTAAAGACTGTGCTTATTTTAAACATAAATCTCATTTAACTAGAGCAAACTTTGCTCATTGCAACCATGTC